TCAATTTTTTCCCACTGATCTACTTGTCTTGATTACTGTAGTTTTATACCAAGTCTTTGTTCTTCTCCTTCAAGATTGTGTAAACCATTTTGGGTCTTTTTTCTCTCCACATAAACTTTACAATTAGTTCACAAATAACTTGCTAGAAGTTTGAATGAGATTAGTTGAATCTATAGATCAATTTGGGAGGAACTGATACCATGAAAATATTGAGTCTCTTCCCTATGAAAGTGGACTATCTCTCCATTAATTGTCTGACTTCTTTCATCAGAATTGTAATTTTTCTTCATGTAAGTCTTGTTAGATTTTTTATTGTGGTAGTGAATAGGAAGCTCAGGGCCTCATGATTACAAGGCCAGTGCTCTACCACTTGAGGAAAGCCTTCAGCCCTTTCTATTTAAACCCAAGTATTTTAATTTTTTGACACTAATAGAATGTTATTGTGTTTATTTCCAATTCTAGTGTGTATAGAAAATTTATTTCTAATGTATAGGAAATTGATTGACTTTTGTGTATTAACCTTATATCCTGATATAATAACTTATTAACTTAAGGACACTTTTTATGAATCATTTTGAACTTTCTACATATGAAACCATGTCATCTATGAATTAAAATAGCTTTATTTCTTCCTTCCCAATCTGGATACCTTTTATTTCCTTTTCTTGTCCATTGCATTATCTATTATCTATTATTTATCAAATTTCATTTGATTATATTTCTTATTATCCATTGTTACATTTTATTTGATAATATTTTTGCATCCATGGTCATGAGCAATATCAGCCTGTAGTTTTCTTTTGGCATCTTTGCTTGGTTTTGGTAATAGGGTAATGACTGAGTTCATAGAAGAGATTAGAATGCATTTCTTCTTTCTCTGTCTTCTGGGAGAGGTTGTAGAAACTTGGTATAGTTTCTTCCTTAAATGGTAGAATTCACCAAGCACCTGTGTCTGAGCTTCTTGCTTGTGAGGATTATTATTAATTGATTTGATTTATTCAGTAGCTGTAGATCTATTCAGATTGTCGATTTCTTCCTGCGCAAGTTTTGGCAGATTGCCTCTTTCAAGGAATTGGTCTGTTTCATCTAGGTAAGTGAATTTGTGAGCATAGAGTTTCCCATAGCATTCTTTTTATCATTCTTATAGTTTCCATGGGGTCTGTAGTGTTCTCTATTTCATTTCTGATACTAGTACAGATGGTCCTTGACTTACAATGTTTGATTTATGATTTTTTTGACCTTATGGTGGTAGAAAAGTGACATGCATTCAGTAGAGACTGTACTTCAGATTTTGAATTTTGATCTTTTCCTGGACTAGCAACCTATAATGTGATACAATTATAATGCTGGGAAGTGGCAATGAGCTACAGCTCCCAGTGAGCCATGTGATCACTAGGACAAACAACCTACACCACATTGCACTGTGTTGCTAAACTATTATGATGTTCCCCAGGTGAAGTGTATTAAATGCATTTTAACTTATGACATTTTCAACTCCTAATTGGTTAATCAGGATGAAATACCGCAATAAGCTGAAAAAATATTCTTTTTTCTTGATTAGCCTAGCCATAGTGTATTACTTTTAATTTGATCTTTTCTGAGAGCCAAATTTGGTTTGGCTGATTTTTGGATGGGGTTGCTAATGATTGAACCCAGGGTCTCACTCATTCTAGCTCTACTACTGGGTTATATGTCCAGCTCAGTTTTATTAGAGTTTATCTATTGATTTTCTGTCTTCAGTTTCATTGATTTCTGTTTTACTTATTATTTATTTTCTTCTGTTTACTTTGGACACAATTTGCTCTTCTTTTTCTAGATTTTTAAGGTGGAAGTTGGATTATTGATTTTGATATAACTATCACAGAGAACAGTAGGTGAATTTCCATTCCTTGAACCATAGAATATGTGTGTGTGTGTGTGTGTGTGTATGTTTATGTGTATATATGTGTGTACATATATATTGCTGTGCTGGAGTTTGAATCAGTTCCTCATACTTGCAAAGCAAGCACCCTACCACTTAAGCCACACCCCTAGTCCTTTTTGCTTTCAGTGTTTTTTGAGATAGGGTTTCATGCTTTTGTCTAGGCCAGCTTCAGACTGCAATCTTCCTACCTTTGCTTCCTGAGTACCTGGGATTACAGGTTTGCACCATCACACCTAGCTTGTTTTTGAGACAGTGTCTCAATGACTTTTTCCTGGCTGGCTTCAAACTGCAATCCTCTTGTCTCTACCTCTGGAGAACCTGGCATTACAGGTGTGTGCTACCATGCCTGGCCTACATATTTCATTCTTGTGAGGGTGAGAATATTCTTTCATTCACTAGATATTTATTGAGCAACCTCCATGTGGCAGGCATGGCAACTCTTAACCTTCATAGATTTCATATTTCTTTGAACATAATAGTGAATATCTTCCCAATCAAAACAAGACAAAAGTAATCCAATTAAGAAATTATGGGTAGCAAAATGGACAAAAAGCTGACAGTAAAAAATTGCTTTTCCTCCAGCCCTTTTTCTCAGTATAACCCTCTAGAGGATTCGTAGGCTTGTGAGAGGTCTTTATTTGGCCCCTGCCTGCTCAGGCCCAAAGCTAGTTGGTGTTCTGATCCCTCAATAATGAGCTTAGCAGCCCTGGATGTTGGCCTCTGAATTGACCTTTATGGTTTTTGGTAGCATCAAAGCCTGAATGAAATTATTACCTCATAGAATTCTATTTTTTTTTTGAGATCTAGATTTCAAATTTGCAAAATAAGTTTCCAAAGCATCACTCATTATGCTATAAACTCCCAACCACCTTTGTTTTTTTTGGGGGGTGGGGACAGAGTCTTGTTATGGCTTTGAACTCACAATTCTCCTGCCTCAGCCTCTGACTGCTGGAATTATAGGCATGCACCACCATGCTTGACTTGCTATAAGCTCTTGAAATAGGGAACCAATAATGTTCTCTTTGTTAAAATAGGTACTATCTTGTGATACCTAGTAAGATAAACTTTAAAAATTCATTTACTGCACATGTAAGATGGGGAATTGTTAGGCAGATAATTCAGGTAAGATACATAAATTACTTATGGAGATGAGCCACAACCAGCTCCAAGTTTAGGTCATAATTAATCTTCAGAAGACAGGGCTGGGGATGTGGCTTAGTAGCTTGGCTTAGTGGTGGTGTAGTGCTTGCTCAGCATTCATGAGGAGCTGGGTTTGATCCCCAGCACTGTCAAAAAAAAAAAAGGCTGGGTTGGTGGTGCACACTTATAATCCCAACACTCAGGAGACTGAGGCAGGAGGATTGTATCCAGGCAAGCTTGGGCTGCAGAGCAAGACCCTTTCTTAAACAAAACAAAACAACAAAAAAGTCCGAGTCAGAATTAGGATAGTTCTAGGGAATGTCAAAAACTCAATATCAAAATAAACATTATCTTGACACATATTTTTAAAAATAAAAATTAAGGCAAAAACTCCATGACAAGCAAAATACCAAAAATTTATCATGTTTAAGTTGCCATCCCAAGCTACCAAATCTGAGGCAAAAGGAAAAATGTATGTCCTTAATAAGTGTCTTTGTATATTTATTTAATGGTTATTTTAAAAGAGCATTACAGTATTTGAAAAAACATTAAAACACTGAAAGGTAAGCATATTAAATGTTACTTTGGTTTAACTATTTTATTGATACCAAAACCAAAGTTTCCAATAATTATATTTTCCTGATATTAATGGAAGTGAGTTCATCGATTATATATTTAAAAATACTTTGGGTAACATCTATATATGAATATAATATAATTTACTGCACCATAAGCTTGGCTATTAGGGGAGCATAGTGATAGGGAAGAAGTAAGTAGCAGAGGACAATTTGATTAAAGCAGGTCTACTCAGGCCTGAATTACCAAGGCAAAACCCCTTGGACCATTGATAAACACTTTAAAAAAAAAAAAAAAAGAAGGACAGGAGAGTAAAACAAGTCTTTTTCAGGGGTGGGTATTAGTGGGAGGGGTGGGCATAAGAAAAGGTGAATATTTATATATGAAAATAGATGAATGAAATCTGAAAAAAATTACTTTGGGTAAAACTATTTAAAAATACATAAAAACATGTATGCAGGGGCACACATTCTTTTTCTTTTGCCTTAGGCTCCAATATGATTTCACATGGAGCTAGAAACAGATGTAGTTAGTTCTTCCTGCTTTGTACAATGTGTGACAGGGCTTAGAATCTAACACAGCACTTTGGCTCTATGATCCATTCAATCAAGTAAAACAAAACATCTAAGAAGGCTTTCCTTTTACACTTTTAATTATTCCAGGAGTTGCGTCTGGGCTTACTTTTAGTTTGGCATTAGGTATTTGAACTCATAAGCACAGTCAGAAAAGGATTCATGAGGCTTAGAATGGCTTCCTTCCTATCAACTCATTTTAAAAATAGTTTTGGAATTATTTCAAATAGATTGTGAACAGAATTGCCAGGAATTTGGGACAAACAAGGATCTGTTTTGAGGAAGTGTATCATAACCATGGAACTATGTCTTCCTCAGTTTAAAATTGGATGTAGCCTCCGTTAGTCTCCCTGGCAGGTTTTTTCAATTCTTTCTTTCCTGGTTTAAGAAATTTGCAGTATTTCTAAAAATGAAAGTAAATGTTTAGCTCCCAATTTTAAGTTAACATGGGGAGACAATTTGAGCAACTTAAAGTTTAGAGTAAAAGGTAAAATTAAACAACACACACCCAGATTTTGTATCATGGATATGCAAAAAGACACATTTTGAAAACCCTCTTGGCAAAAACTTATGTTCCATTATAATTCAGAGTTGCATCGTAGATTGTTTAGAAATAGGGGTTTGAGAAATGTAACCTTTGTAGTTTCCTTGAAAATCAAATATAAAAGATCCAATGTTTCATTTGCTGCTGGAGCTTTTTGTAAATTATTCAAATTGAGTATAGTGGGAGGGCCAATTTGCTAAATAGCTAGTTAGTGAAGACATACCCCGAGAAAGGCTAAGTGGTGGGAGAGAAAACTCCAGCAGATATTGAGTGCTATAAAAGTGCCTACATGTAAGTAAGCAGGCAACATGCCAGGTACTGCAACATCCTATGGGATAGGGATATACATCGAGAATGTTGGACTTGACCTAAGAGGTGTCTTGAAGGCTTAATGAAGGAGGGAGCTACTAAGTTCTAGCTGAACCTCCAGGCTGCTGATGGTGAATGGTGAAGGAGAGGAACTGTGTGTCAGGCAGAGGAAAGTCCAAGTGCAAAAGTGTGGAGCTGGGGGAAAAACAGAAGCTTCTTAGAACTAAAGATAGGGTCAGGCTTTTAAAAGAGGTGTGGCAGCAGGAGGAAACAGTACAGCGGAAATAGTGAATTGTGGTAAACATTCTCTCTGCAGCCAGCAGGCAGACTTAACGCCTTGTGGGAACAAATGAGCAACAGAAGTGGAAAGAGCAACTGCAATTCTTTCGAAATACCCAGGAGCCAGGAGACTATGGACAGGCAAGTGAGAGATGCCTTAGCTGTCCAGGAAAGAGAAGAAGAAACTTGAAGAAGTAGGAGGCTTACTTACATTCATTTAAAGGGGGAAGGAAGTGCATTGTTAGGTGACTATCAGCCTTGGGTTCTTGGAGGGAGGGCTTACAAAATATTTTAATGAAAAGGGGTTTTGAGGGGTCAGTTCCAAATGATTATCCCTTAAAAGCTAACATTATTGGTGTTTCTTGCAAAATATTTGCCAATTACAGCCTAAAACAAACTACGGAGATTCTGCTGTGTTTGTCACCTGTTGAAGTTGACAGTCTCAAGGAAGGAATCAATTTTTTTCGAAATAAGAGCACTGGCAAAGACTACATCTTATACAAGAATAAGAAGCACCTGAAGGCATGCAAGAATTTGTGCAAGCACCAAGGAGGCCTGTTCATCAAAGACATTGAGGATCTAGATGGAAGGTACCAACGGTCCTTTGCTTTCTCACTGGTGACCCTGCTTGCAATTAGACTTGGCAGGAAATGTGCTCACCCTATAATTTTAAATGAACCAATCAGTAAATTGCTTCCCCGAGAAAATTTTGTAAGTTTTACTCTTACTTTTTTAGGACATCTCTCTGACCTCGAAATTGTATGTTTTACTTACTTTTCCTCCCTCTTTCTAAGAATTCTAATTTTAAAATTATCCTTAGCTTGATAAAGAGTAAAACTTTTATTTTATACATGTCTCTGTATGTCAGTGTTTTGGTGTGTATGGGGAGGGTCACACACTTATACTGCATTCAAAGACCCAAGGCTCCTAGAAATTTCCTTCCTCCAAAAGTGTGCAGGGTTTTGTTTTTTCTTTTTTTGCATGTGGGGTGGGTCACTTTTCTGAATCCTGCTGGAAAGCAGATAGAATTTTCCTAATTATAATTGTGATTATGAAACAAAAGTGGCAGAGCCCCAGCTGTCACTTCCCTGAACAGTGGCTTTTCTGATCATTTCTTAGAACTAATGCTTTTGCCTCATCTTCATGTAGAATACTTCTCCCCAGTGCCTCAGCAATATCAGAAAGGGATTGTTTTATTTTCAGTGATTGCTAATGGAATTGTTTTTGCCCTGTTTGGCAAAGTCAGAAAGGGTTCTTGGGCATCTGCTCTCTCAGTCAGCCCCATGCTTAGCACCAGTACTGCTGTAAACGGTTAACCTTTCTTCCAACATTCTCTTAGCTTTATCTGTGTGGTTTTAGTCATTTAGTATTTTGTTTTATTCTTCCATTGTGTTGACAATCTTATTTCTCCTGTCCTCAGTGGGAGTCAAGTGGCTTGAGAATTTCCTGGTGCAATTGTTCAGAAGTTAGTCACCCAAGTCTAGAATGTTCTTACACCCCACATTATTTGGTTTTTAGATGCTGAACCCTGTTGTAGCTTATTTGTTATCCCAGATATAGCTGCCAGACTGGAAAATAAGAACACAGGATGCCAAGTTAAATTTGTATTTGCAATAAACAACGATTGTATTTTTAGTATAAATATGTCCAACGCAGTTTATAGGACATACTGTTAGCTGGCAAGTCCTCTGCAGGAGAATTAGCAGGTAATTTGCTCACAGCTGGTTGATTGCTCCCTAACTTCTCAGTGGATTGGGGCAGGGAAGTCTCTCTTCTCAGTCTGTCTCTGGGAAACTTCTGCTGCACTCAGGGAGCTGAGGCTTTCTCTTCTGCCTATTGTAGCTTTGGAACTTTGGTTTTCCTCTCTTCTCTCCTTAGTGGCCCTTCCACGCAGTGTGCACTTAGTTAACCATTTAAGGAGGCATGAAAATCTAGTGGATAGTGTATCATCTCTCCTCCTGAACTTCCTGCCTCTAACACTCACCAGCTCTATAATAAGCTTGAACAAATTTCAGAGCCTTTCTGAGGCTCAGTCTGCTTATTTATAAAATGAGAATGAAAGTATTTTCTACGTTGTCAGGCTCCAGAGTGGATAAAATGATATCAAGCACATAAAAAATAACCTAAAAGAAAGTCATTTGATGACATGTGATAAGCACCTAATAAATGTTAATTGTTAGTGTTATAATTACTATGACATGAGATTCTGTGTAGCTTGTGTGCAGAGATAATGTGCAAGAACTCAGATTGTTTTTGTACTTAGCTTGCTCATCTAAATATGGTGATTGCTTTAACACAGACTTGTCTTTCCTTCAGCCAAGTCTTGGGGTGATTGATCCTAGTTTCACTCTTTTTGCTGACAGGCTAACCCTAATCTTTAGCTTTCCTGCACAGGCTTTCATCTGTGGGTTAAAACTGCATTCCGATAGTAACTTATACTCTACCGTCCACCTCCAGCTCCTCATTCAGTTACTTCTTACTCAGCTATTCATCTGAAGGAACGGTCTTTTCCACAATACAGTCAAGAATAGAGACCTCTTGTTCAATCCTACCTGCCATTCAATCATTTTTCTTCTTGACACGTAAGCAAGATTAACGAATCATGAAAGCTGTGCTCCTCATTTTTATTTTATTTTATTATTCATATGTGCATACAAAGCTTGGGTCATTTCTCCCCCCTGCACCCACCCCCTCCCTTACCACCCACTCCGCCCCCTCCCGCTCCCCCCTACCCCCTCAATACCCAGCAGAAACTATTTTGCCCTTATTTCTAATTTTGTTGTAGAGAGAGTATAAGCAATTATAGGAAGGAACAAGGGTTTTTGCTGGTTGAGATAAGGATAGCTATACAGGGCATTGAAACACATTGATTTCCTGTGCGTGTGTGTTACCTTCTAGGTTAATTCTTTTTGATCTAACCTTTTCTCTAGTTCCTGGTCCCCTTTTCCTATTGGCCTCAGTTGCTTTTAAGGTATCTGTTTTAGTTTCTCTGCGTTAAGGGCAATCCTCACCCCTCCCTATCCTCACCCCTCCCTTGTGTGCTCTCGCTTTTATCATGTGCTCATAGTCCAATCCCATTATTGTGTTTGCCCTTGATCTAATGTCCGCATATGAGGGAGAACATACGACTTTTGGTCTTTTGGGCCAGGCTAACCTCACTCAGAATGATGTTCTCCAATTCCATCCATTTACCAGCAAATGATAACATTTCGTTCTTCTTCATGGCTGCATAAAATTCCATTGTGTATAGATACCACATTTTCTTAATCCATTCGTCAGTGCTGGGGCATCTTGGCTGTTTCCATAACTTGGCTATTGTGAATAGTGCCGCAATAAACATGGGTGTGCAGGTGCCTCTGGAGTAACCTGTGTCACAGTCTTTTGGGTATATCCCCAAGAGTGGTATTGCTGGATCAAATGGTAGATCGATGTCCAGCTTTTTAAGTAGCCTCCAAATTTTTTTCCAGAGTGGTTGTACTAGTTTACATTCCCACCAGCAGTGTAAGAGGGTTCCTTTTTCCCCACATCCTCACCAACACCTGTTGGTGGTGGTGTTGCTAATGATGGCTATTCTAACAGGGGTGTGTGCTCCTCATTTCTTAACTTTAATGTTTTTACACCTTCTCCTGTATGAAGTGCTGCTGTCCCCTTCCTATCACCTTGCCACCCAAGAGCACTTGGTTCGGCCAGTTTTCCCTTTCAGGGCCCAGAATGCTGAATGGAATGTTCCATCTTAATTTTTGAAAGGTTTTTGACTACTCATTAATGAGGAAGGAGGTGTCATAAAGTAATCCCTCATAAATCGAGGGAAGTATTAATATATGTCTTTTGCCTATAACTAAAAAGGAACATTAAAAAATTCTGGATATAATCAAGTTTGGAAATGTTAACATGATTAGCTTATATGTTAAGTAGATGTATTTAGTTTAAAAAAACTGATGTTTCTGGTTTGAGCATTTCTTAAGAAATTTTTTAACTCTTAAAAAAGTCATCACCAAAACGACTACCAAAGTAATGCAAGTAAATAAAACTATTTACATTCTACTTCCAACCATACCACTCCTCTGATAAGCTTTTTTTCTTGGGGGCGGGGGAAAGTAATTAACATCCAGTTTCATTACAGTTTGGATTCTCACTCTGTAATAGAGATAAATTAGAAAATTTATCTCCCAGTTAAATCAGCAAATTTAACGCCCAGTTAAATCTAGGTTACAACAAATTTTTAGTATGAACATGTTGTGGATATTGTGTGAGACATACTTGCATATAAAAATTATTTACTTTTGGTTGGACTGGGGTTCAAACTCAGGGCTTTGCGCTTTCAAAGCAGGTGCTCTACCACTTGAGCCACCCTCTAATCCAATTTGTTTTGGTTATTTTGGAAATGGAATCTCACAAAGTATTTGACCAGTCTGGTCTCGAACCGTGATACTTCTGATCTCAGCCTCCCAAGTAGTCAAGGATACAAGGGTGAACACCAGCTCCCAGCTTATTTTTTATCTGAAATTCATATTTAACTGAACATCCTATATTTTTTCTAGTAATCATAATAAAAAAACCTTAAGCTTTTGGAGAATCCTTTCAAATTATAAAAACTTTAGTTGAACACTATTCTATGGATCAAGAGTTATAAAGTGATTAAAAGTCATATGTATATACTATTTACTACATTCTTTCCTTGAAGCTTGGGTCTACCCTAGCTTCACTTTTATGAGAGCCATTCAAAGCCTCAGGGATGATTGACCCTAGTTTCCCTCTATTTTGATGATAGGATAACCCTATTCTCTTGACTCTATTGCACTTTATTCTCTTGTCTCTAACATGTATCATTGTGTGACATTGAGTTTATCTTCATTCTTAAAACCACCTATTAATAATTAGTCTACAGGTCCTTGATTTTGAGGATTAGCTATTAATATTTTTTCATATATTCAGTTACATTACCAAATAATGCATTAATCAAGGTTAATTTTTATTCACTGTTTCATAAACCTAAGTATAATTTTTTTCAACCAGATCTGTTAAATGCACAAAGCATAATTGGAAGTTAGATGTGAGCACCATGAAATACATCAATCCTCCAGGGAGCTTCTGTCAGGACGAACTGGGTAAATATCATCCATCCTGATCAATGCATTCTGCTGTTGTTGTTATTGGGGTCCTTCTGGTTAATTTCCAATTTCACTTGAAGCTTTAGATACATTCTGATTTTAAACTGTTATCTCTCTTTTTAAATAATCAGCAGTGGAAATTCTGAATAGAAGAATTCTCCTAAATTCACTCATTGATTTGGCATGTATTTGTTGAAACCTTACCATGTGTAAACATTTTGCCAGATATTAAGGGATACAAAGTTGGATAACAGAATCAATATAAATGAGATTAACATGTACATGAAGTGATGATGAAGACAAACCTGTAAACAATGAGAATAAGGATTTAATGATGGATTTCTTGAGAGAGATACATTGTACTCTGTAATAGTGAATCTGACTTTTATTTGTGAAGGTATATAAGAAGACTTGAATTTATGTCCATACAATCTTCTACAACTTGAGGAAACTTTACAGTTTTGATAGGAAGTAGAGTACGGACAGTTAGATAATTTTTTCTGGCATAGTTAAAGAGCTATAGTTTATGTACAGTCCTCAGAATGCTGGGTGTGCTTCCACTCCATTCCCTCCCCTCAAGAGAGACTTAAAGATATGAGTAAGGAGGAGCTTAGTACTAGGCTAAATTTGTCTCTATTCCATTAAAAGACAAATGATAATGAATCTAATTTTGAAGATGTAAGTTAGCTTTAATTAAAATCCTAGATGATGCCCCACCACAATATGTGCATGTTACATTTATAGCCAGAGAAAAAGAAGTGACATAAAGAAAAAAACCCTGATTGCCTGCAGTAGATATTTGCCTTATGCAGTCATGGTTTTCTTTGGGGGGGCTGGTTAAAGGTTCAGTTGCTATCATTGACTGAGATTCAGTTGCTTGGTTATGAGGGTGTAGTCTTATGTTAGGTTACAGTTTGTTTATACATTAAGCCAGGCTACAGTTTACTATGTACTAAGGTTGCTTTGGGCCAAACCTTATTACCCAAATACAGATGGTTTTAGACCAAAGTAACTTAGTTTTTAAGCCATTCTAACTTATTAAAGGTTTGTTTTATCTGTAGAAAATGTTATATGTGACAATCCTTAAAACTGACTGCCACTTAGCAGTGTTTTGCACAGATTATGTTTCAAAATGACTTCTCTAGGAATAAAAAAATGAGTTTGATCTGATTGGGGGGGATCACAGAAAAATTCATGCCGGAGATAGCACTTGTGTTGAGTTTTGAAGGATGAGCAGAATTTCATCAGGCATAGAAGAGAAAGAAGGCCATTCATCACAGAGGGGAATACATTGGACAGTGTGTTATGTGGATAATTTTGTAGTTAGCTGGCTGGAGTGTATGTCATGTGTCTTGAAGTAGTAAAATACAGGACTGCAAAGGTATAATTCAAAGAAGGTCTTGAATGCTGTCTAAGAATTAAGTCTAGGCATTTTATTAAGAGTGTTTCAGGCACAATATTGTGCATTTTGTGTGAATTATCCCATGTTGCTCTCCCTTTGATCCTAGTGTGATAATGGAGAGTCAATAATGGAAAATAATTGTCCTCTTTTTGTAGCATTTTTTTTTCCTTTCGTAGTTTGGATATGGCTTGATCCCACCAAACCTCACTGAAATTTGATTCCCAGTGTAACAGTGTTGAGTGCTGGTGGAACCTTTAAGGTCTTACCTGATTATGTCATGTGGGTTCCATCCTGATGAATGGATTAATGACTTTCTTGAAAGACTGGATTAGATTCTCCAGATTAAATTAGGTCTAGGAGGAGTGAGTTGAGTTTCACAAGACTGGATTAGTAACTTCAAGACAGTGTTGTTACAAAGGGTTTACCCCTGATGTTCTGAACTTTCTCTATATGTGCCCACTGGCCACTCACCATGTTTTCCACCATGCTGAGGAAATGCTGGCCCTATCCTCTTAAACCTATTGAACAGGGAACTAAATAAACTTCTTTCTTTTATGTATTTCCCAGCCTCAGGTATTTTGTTATAGTAACATAAAATGGGCTAAGACACCATCATATTTATCAACCCACCTGCTTCTGTGCCTATGCAGTCTTCTTTGCCTCCTATTATAATGGACAAATGATCCTGCTTCTAGTGTAGCTCTGCCCATCACACACAGATCCCATTTCCTCAGACCCGCTCGAGATCTCATTTTCTCACACCTACTCAAGGACTTTGCTTCTGTAGTTGTGTCTCTCTCTCTCCTAATCATTCATTTTGTTGTTATCTAGTAGTATGCATCCATATTCTCTAGTTTCATATAAGCCTTACTAGACCTCCCCTCTCCTTTCAGTTATGCTCTCATTTCATTAACCCATTAAACAGGCAAATCCATTGACACAAGAGTCTACACTCACTATCTTCTGCTTCACCGACTATTTGCTCTCTCTTGAGTTTCTGTCCCTTCTGTTCTACTAAAACTACTCCTATTGGGCTTATCAGTTCTCTCCAGGTGGCTAAATCCAGTGGTGACTTTTCCATTGTCATCTTACTTAGACTCAGGCTCAGCAGCATTCAGCACTGTGGCTAACTTTCTCCTCCTTGATATACTTTCTATTCTTGGCATGGCGGGGGTGGCGTAAGGTAATACTCTCTGTATTAGTTTGCTCTTCGCACTTGTAATACAATGTCATTAACTCAGTGTTGTAAAACAATATAAGTTTATTATTTTATTGATATGTATAACCAAAGACTAACACAAGTTTCACCAGCTAAGGTTATAGTGTCATCTGAGCCCCACTGCTTTCTGTTGACTGGGGAGAAGAATTGTTTCCTTGCCTTTTCCAGCTTGCAGTATCTCTTTTTCTCCACTTTCAAAGGCAACAATATTGCATTTCTCTGACCATTTTTCTGTCATCACATCTCCCTCTGTTCCTCTTCTGCTTCTCTCTCCCACTTTAAGGACTCTAGTGGGTTCATTTGGAGGATTCAGGATAACTTCCTATTTAAGGTTAGCTGGTTAGCAATCTTAATTTCACCTGCAACTTTAATTCCCCTTTGCCATGTCACCTAACTCATTCAGGTCCCAGGGATTAGAATACAGGCATCTCTGGAAGCCAACATTTTATTTACTACATTCTCCCAACTTTTATTTCTGCCACACTTAGCCAATTTTCTCTCCCCAGGTTGAGTCATCCCCTGATAGACTTATATTTGGTTGCCCTTGAACTCTCACTTATGTTCACTGTATCTAAATTCTAAGTTGATGCTTTAAGTGACCACATCCACTCCCACAGCTCCAAACACCATCTTTACTCAATGACTCTGAAAAGTTTATTCCCAGCTTTGATCTCATCCCAGGGTTCCAGACTTGGATATATACTATATACACTACTTAGTTGATATTTTAACAAGAATTTCTAATAGATATTGCAAGTATACAGCCAAAACAGAATACTTAATGCACAATGTCATTTCATTCTCAAACTATTCCTCTTCTAGCTTTCCCCTTCTCTGTAAATGGCAAAACTGAACAAAACCTGGGAGTTGTCCTCAAGCCTTCTCTTTTCTTAAACTAAGAATTGATACTCTCTCTATGCCAAACACCTTCTGAACCCATTCTCTCCTCTCCATTTGCACTGCTTATATCTGAGTCCAAGTCACTGCCAACTTTTGCCTGAATGACTGGCCTTCCTGCTTTCATATTTGCTTTCTCCAGTCCACTCTGCTTGCATCTCATGGTATAATCTTTCAAGATCCAAACTAATTCACATCACTTCCCAACTAAAAACCCTCCAGTAATTTCCTATCATACTTAAGAACATGCTTTTTTTTTGGCTCAGCTATTTCACATCCCAGAGCACAGTCACTGGTATGTCACAAGATATAGCTATGGGAATGTTGATCCACAGCAATACTATTTACGCAAGAGAAAAATTGGAAAGAATTTAAACATTAGGAATAATTTTGATAGCTCCTAAGAATGATACTGTTGAAGAAACTAAAATAACATTTCTGATATATAAGGCAAACTATCAAGTTATACACACTTATGAAAAAATATATGTGAATAAGTACATGTGGGCAGTATAAGGGCAGCCTTAGCAGTGGTTAGCTGTGAAGGTAGCTGGATTCTAATGGGGGCTTACTGGCTATACCATTACACTGTTGGCTCTGATTCCACTACCTTTCTGTTTTTTTTTTCAGGCTCAAATTATTGTGCCTGTACTAAGTGATATGGGATACCAGGGCTATTTTCACCCACATGTCTCTGTGAAAGCAGCTCCAAATGACTTTAAAGAAAAGTACCTTGCAGAGGCATTCTCCCAATTCTTTAAGAACAGGGGTGTCACTGAGATATAAGTCTTCTGCCATTCCCCCCATAAAATACTATTCTGGGGAGAGTTGCTAATTGCTTTGGCTATTATTTCATCTTCCCTCTGCCTCTCAAAGGGATATCTGGACCACTAGCTAGTTTCTCTAGTAAATTCCATCCCAGGTCTGTTGATCTAAGCCCAGCAAGCATAACACTGTCTTGTTACTAGGGACTGGTTGTTAACTTTATTTGGCATAACACTTATAAGAAGCATAGGTTTAGACATAAACATTGCTAGTTTGAAAAAAGACAATAGACTGTCAACTTTATGAATATATGACTCAGAAATCTACAGCTGCTTTGCATCTTTTATGAGAAACTCTTAATCTATTAGACAAATCTGTAAAGAGACACTAGAGTGAAACTGTTAAGGGTGAAGGTGGTGGGATTTGCCAACCCAGGTTCCAACCTGAGATCCAGGATGCTGGGGAGTTATTCAATCTCTTTGTGCTTTGCTTTCTTGAAATATAAAGTGGAGATAATACTGTTATAAGCCATCTTACTGGGTTGCTGTAAGATTTTTTTAAAGTTAGCTAGAACAGGCATGGTGGTACATATCTATAATCCCATCTACTTGGGAGGTGAAGGTAGGAGGATCAAGGTTGGAGGCCCCTAGGCAAAAGTGAAAGACCCTATCTGAAAAATAAATTAAAACCTAAAGGGCTGGGATCATGTCTCAA